TCGGCTTCAAATACATGAGCCCTTGTTCTGCAGGGGCACACGAATATACCTGTGACCGGGCAATGCTTATCAGTTAGAATAAGTAATATGAACCAAAAGACACGAATGTTCAGCATTCTAATAATGGGTGTATCTCAAAACGTCCCATTCGCATTTGAACCTTGCACATTTCGTCCTATTCTCATTTGGTCCTTCTCGTTTGAACCTTCTCATAAGATCCGAATCGTGTTTTTCGCAACTGGGCCCATTCTCATTTTGCCCGTTCGCCCTACGACCGAATGGCATTACTTCGGCATGCTTCTAACGTTGTTATGCCTTCGCGGCTTTGTTGATGAGCCTTACCTTGCTTGGGCCCCCAACATACCATTAGGTATATGTTATATGTAGAGGTGCGCACTGAGAATCGTACAATGACGCGTCCTTCCCTTCCTCTAAGCAAACGAAAAAAAACAAAGCGATGAACATTTAATTTGGAAACTTTGAACGGAAATAGCATACATATTAGCAGTGGTTCTCAACCATTGATGTTTCGCGGACCCCTTGTAGAAAGGCGGAGATGATGGAGGACCCCGCTCGGGGTGAGGGGAATAGAAAGGTATAGGGTATCATGATAATGATTTAATAAATGGATATAACTAATTGCAAGTGTAAAGTAGACTTATCTCATTGACACACGCACGAGAGTACTCACCCAAAAATTGGAACGTTTCTTAACGACGTGAAGAAAGACAACTAATATTGTCGTGCTTGACTGATAAGACATGGCTTCGCGGACCCCTATAGATGCCTTCGCGACCCCCATTTGAGAAACACTGCAATATAGAAGTGGTGTCATTGTCCCAGGTCGAGAGACCCCAAAAAATGTGACATTTCGGAATATGATCTGGCTGCGATAAATACTTGGTCTGTTTTATTGTCAGCTAGTAGCTTTTCGCGACGATCTCGACGCACTGCTAAAATCCTTGGCAGAGAGAGTATGCCTGTAGCGTGGCACACACACACACGCACGCACAAAATATATCAATGTACTTATTAATATAACCCCCCCAAAAAAAAACTATTTTCGTATAGAACGAGTCAAGTGCGACGGGTCAAAGCGAGATATTTTTGAGAATGGCTGTTTTGAAAAGGGCCAGGTGAAAAGGGCGAAACGAGAACGGACTCAAATGAGGAGGGTTGAAATGCGAAGGACGAAACGGGAAAGGACCAAATGCGCCAGGTCCAAGAGAGAAGATCTTTTTGAGAATGGTTGTTTTGAGAAGGGCCAAGTGAGAAGGGCGAAACGAGAACGGGCTCAAATGATAACCTTCCTCTAATAATAACCAGAATATTCTGCTTAAGCACTTCAGGCAAGTTTTTTTGTAATATTGCATTTACTGGTACTGTGAATTCCTTTTTTTAACCGAAGTATCGTTGGGGACACCTTTACTAGACAGGCGAGCTGGTTAATATGACATTCTACAAACCGAGATGGAGGCTTCGAAGACATACGTTTCAATTGAGACGGATGTGTTCGTCCTTCTTTGTAGCCTCCGTCTCGGGTTGTCGAATGTTTTAGCGTTGTTTGCTGACACAAGATCCGAAATGTGTCCAGTTATTACTGAGAACTGATGCCAGTAAGCTGAATCGTTTTGTTTTTTTGTTTTTTTTTGTGTACAATCACAATTCGTCTTGATGCAAGGATCAGACTTGGAGGCTCATGGTGTGTGCACGGACTGTCCAAATTAAGGGTGTGTCTCGGCTTGAAAGTATACTATAGACGAGGTTTAGAATTTGTCCAGATTGGATTACTAACCGATAGAGAAGTTAAAGAAGGAGCCAGGAACTCCTTAGCTTCTGTTATACATCCTCCTCTAAGAAATCCCACCCATTATTTATGTTATCTTTTTTTTTTCAGGCGACTTGTGGCAATGAACCCGCAGGAGGGGTCCCGGCAGTCGTCAAGAAAAGTTGCTCTGGTGCATCTGAAGGCGCAGGGAGCCCTCCAAGAGTTCTCGAAGTTCCAAAAGAAGTGGAAAGAAACTTCGGTGCTTGTTTAGATTAATCATTCTTTTCTATTGTTAATATTACAATTTGTTGTATAGGCCAAGATGGTTCTTTTCGAGATGTAGCATGTCAGCATAATTTTTGGTCACATTTTTTTAGGAGACTGCTCACTTTGATATTTTTTTATGGCTGCGCTGCCCCCAAAATATTTGCGGCATGAACTGTGTTTTTTTATTGTGTATCTGCTCTAGTCATTTAAAAGAAAAATAAATGTAAATATTTTTGAAGCAGCAAACTGTTCAGTCTTCTTTGCAATGGGTCCGTTGCTATGGGTTGGAACCAAAAGGACCAAGCGTGAACTTAGTTTGATAACGATTTTTTTACAAATGTTTATCTGCCTTTCTCCCCGTCACTACATGTGCAATGCTCTCTAAACTTGACGTAGCATGTGAACACTTTCTCATGTCATTCCTGGCTATTCTATTGAGTATATATGTCACAGATTCATTGTTCTGTTTTCAGGATAGTGCTCGCATTATGTACGACAGTTCAAATTTTCCATCCATACAAGTTTGGGTAACATTTGCGCATTGCAGGTAATTTTATGTTGCAAAGACGTGCATCAAGTTGCGCCTGCAAACTGCCAGGACATCCCTGTTTTGCATGTCGCATATCAACTTTTTCAAGGAGGAGCTTGGCATGTGACATACAAAGCCCGGATGTACTCATGAATAGCAGCAGTAACATAAAATGGGGCGAGTACTATCACAAACAAGACTGAACTTTTCCGTACGTACAAGAAATGTAACCTGTGTCGTTTTGGACGCATTGGAACATGTAATGTACTTCGTAAAAATGGTACATGGTCTGGCATGGCTTGCAACAGAACATGTGCTGCTGTGCGCCACGATGGTACATTTCCTGTAGCATACAGTACTTGTTCCGTGATGATGGTGTATGGAACTTGTTGTGGCTGCCCATACAGCAACAACATGTCCCGTACTAAAGAAGTATGGAACATGTTCTGTAGTCCGGTAATACAGTACATGTTGTGGCAACAAGGTTAGCATGTATGTGTCCCATATTTTGACAGGAGTTTTTCTAACAGTGTACTGCGAATTTGTACAGGACTGCTCACTTTTAAATATATTTCTACCATCCGTCTGCAAAAAAAAATCAAATATTCCAGTTGCAGGTTTCCTTGGAGACAGAAGTAACTTCCCGATATGTCAATCTCAACTTCTAACTAGAATGTACTTTTGTATGATTAATTTATTCATTCCGGTAGAAATATAAAAACGCAAGCATCGTAGCCCATGCTCTTCTTGACCTTCCTTGTCTGCTCAGATCTCCAGTCAGTTGAGCACAGCGTTGAAATTGGGGACCGCAGAAAGTGGCTACGCGAAGACTGCTCCTTCATTCTGCTGAAGCAGATATTCATACAATATCTGCATCAGCCGTTTTTGCTTTCAAATCCTAATTATATGGCTTCCTGGGGAAACTCCTTCACGGGCTCTGAAAACAAGCTCTCAGTGGTCTGATCATCAAAGCAGAATCGAGCAGCTTCAAACTATGACAACTAACGCGAAGAAATCGCATAGTAAATTTCTATCCCAGTGTAAACGAACCAGATTCTTTCCAGCATGTTTTGTCTCCGTCTCTTTTACTCTGCTGTCTCCTTAGTATCTCCACACGCAGGAATCTTCTTAATTGCAAAAGTGAAAAGGCGATGTCGTAGGTTTTATTCAGCAGGCCGTTTGCTCTACTCTCGTCTAAATCCCTGGTTAACTCAGCTGGTAGTGCGCTCCACTTGTAATAGAGAGGTCCCGGGTTCGATAACCGGACCAGGCGGATTTTTTCGGTCACACACCAGTCTCCTAGATGTGTCTGTATATTTCTGTTTGTCCTTTGTCCCTCTTGTTCCCCTTCTCCAGGGATTATTTTCATCATTCTTGTCCAGCTCGCTTGCGCCTTTGCATTTAATTGCATTGTAATCAGTACTATCTTCATGTATTTTGCACAATTGCTTACTTAGATACAGCGTAGACCCAGCGGCGCGTTGACCCTTATTTACAACATTCGAATATAATTTAGCACAAATATACAACTGTACGTTGAATGCTTAAGCAAAATTATAATTCGATTAGTTTACTTGAGCGAAAAATAACGAGAAACACATTTTTTTCCCGCGGGATAAGTATATTTCGAGAGAGACCATTACCTACCTGGTGGGCCACTGTGGCGATTACATTGGCAAATTGAATGGGACATACTTGGAGCCAAATTTATTACGTACATGTATGCACAATAAGCGACACTGGACGAAAGAAAGCGATCGCCGTTTTTTTATTTATTTTTTTGTCGTTGTTTTTTTTTTTGATAAAAATGCTTTTATTAAGATCACCAGTGTGATTTAAAGTGCTCAATTGGGGCACTAACTTCAGAAGTAAAACAAAATGTTTTCGAGCACACTTTTGAAGTAAACTCCAAAGAAAGCACCAAAAACGTGTTCGCGCTAAGAGTGTCACGCAGTCACGTAGTAAGTTCGAGAGCGATATGTTACGAAATCAATCTAAGCTTTCTCTTCAAAAGACCATCACACCATTGTTCTCGCTGTATGTAAAGTTAGTCTAGTAACACGTGCATATATTAAAATCACAAGTGACAAAGTATGGAGCTACGAGAAAAAGGGAAGTTCTACGAATAAATACGAAGCAAATATTGCACACCGTTAAAAAATAAAAAAAAATACACTTAAACCTCAACTACCCCGAGAGGGGAACTTCACTTCCGAAACAAACAAAAGCACATTTTAGAATTGTAGCTCGTAATATTTAGGTTTTCCATTTCTGCAATAGTTTTTATTCAGCCGAGAGTTTCTTTTTCTTTTTTTTTTTTTCAGTACACGTATTTTTTACAATATTTGACATTGTAAGCCAGGTTTCAGTAAATAACCGGTTGGAAACATCGAGACGAAAGGTGAGTACGATTCAATCAAATGCTTTCTTTCGCAGCTGCTCCAGTGGCCTGGATCTCTAATTGCTCCAGCACAGCGTCCTGTGGCCTTTCTTGTCCCTCGTGCTGTTCTTGGGACCAAAATACCAATTGCATCGTCTGCCACTGCGAGCTGCCAGATCTGGGTGAATCTTTCTTCTAAACAACGTTTAGAAGTATAGGTTGACACTTTCAAATACATTTTAAACAGTGATTCAACACGTCTTTCTAAGCTTTGCAAATTTAAACTATTCTAGCGAGGAAGAAGAGAACAAGGCTGAGCGCGCGGCAAGATTGAAACAGGACATTGTTTAACATGAAACCGTTTTGTAAGCGGCGCACGCCTCAATATATATGATTACCCGTTTTTGCTTGGCGGAAATTTGTAAATTAGTCATTGTCACAATCTGAGCTTTTTCCAACCAGAAAGATTAAAATGATAAATAGCTCGAGAGAAAATAAACTACGCGCAAGCTCACAGACATGTATCGATGAAGAGTATTTCTGCGTTTCTCTAGCCCCCTGCACGGGAGTGATACCATCTAGAGGTTTAGAATAGCCTTAAGTTGCTGACACCTCTATTTTCGAAGTCGAAACAATCGGCTATAATTGAGCGGTACGTCTGCTGAAAAATAATTCTGACGTAGTTCCGTTTGAATTAACCAAACGTTTTGAACCTAATCGCATAAACAAGCAACGTATGTTTGTTTGTTTTTTACTTCAATTCAGCATATTTTTTTTCGGATAAGGGCAGGTTGGTCTAGCGTATAATTTATTGCCAAAAAAAAAAAAGCCATCTTAACGCCCTCCCAACTTTCTCATCGACGTCCTTCATTTGAGCTCGCACTAATACTAGGCTCGTTTAAATTCCGGTACATACACCCTCAGAAAGGGTTCTTCCGAATAAATTATCGTTTAACTAAAACTACTCCGTATAAATAAATATAAATCCGCAATATTTATTAGTCAGACCTGCTTATTTGACTTTCTGCCCAGCAGGCGTGCAGACGCGCGTCTCGATTCACAGACAGAGCGAAGCGATAACTCATTTTTCAGTACGTTTTCAAGTCAAAAGTTAAAGCTTCAGTATTGTTTACGAAAATGGCCAGGTGAACGGAAATGAACCTACACACTACGATTTCCTTTGAGGTGGCCGTTTCCGTAAGCATCATGAACCAACTAGTTCAGCTTCAGCTTGTTCAGCATTTCGTATAGGAACAAACGTAAGCGGTGTTCGTCTGCTTTAGCGTTGCGTGTTCCAGGCTACGCATGCGCGACGTCGTCATGCAATAATTCAACATCGCAGTTTAGGCTCCACGCAACAAATTGTGAAACACGCAAAGCCAATGCAAATGTAACGGGTTTGCGTTCGCTTGTGTACGCAATACTAAAACTGTTGTTTGCGATGTAGCACCGATCAGGACTGTTGACGGTTCCAGAGTACATCACAACTCGGATTACTAAGATCAAACGGTTCCTAAGTCTTACGTGCTTGGACTGCGTCGTCTACTCCTAAAAAATGGCACTTCAACCCAGGTCCTAGATTGCGCCCAGCCAGCTGCATAACGTCGCCAAGTGACTGCCCTGTAGAGTGTCAGAGCAGCAGCAAGACAGACACCTGCTTCGACTGCAGCTGCCTCGCCCCCAATGGAACGCTTGTACCCGCACTAGGTAGGGACGCTCCCACCATTGAGGCGGTTTGGTAATAACATTGTCAGAACATGCCCTTGACGAAGAGAAACAGGGCCAGGCAAATAGACACATATAAGTGTTCTGCTTCTCAATTTAAGTGTTTTTTCTCACTTTTGTTATAAACCATTAACGTTTTCGGACACGTCTAGGAAATAGTTGTTATCGAACCATTTTTTACATATTTTTTTCTCTCTTTCACCTCCTCTTGTTGAGTCAAGCAAAGGCGTCGGGCCGCGAATCGCACGGTCCGGGGTTCGATTCCTACTAAGGCGCTTGTTACATCTTGCTTTTTACATGTAAATATAATAAATTATGAGTATATATGATTAATTATGACTAAGAATGCCTTCTACTTAGATTCGTGTACGCACTGGCTATTATGGGCTGTGTATGCTTTACGTTGCCTTGGCCTGTGCGTAACGTTTCTTCCTCACACTCGGCAGTTACACTTTTTACATAAAGTCCAGCCCATAAAAACATTCTGTGTTAAAATAAAGTGGATAAGCACTCGAGCAACTTTAACCCGTCGCGGCAAAACGAATGCCGCTAACTTATCAGTGGCTTTACTTCTATGTTTTTCTGTCGCCCTTTTCTTTTCTTTTTTCTCTCCAGACAACCAATGCAAGCGCTTCTGGTTTTCTGTGTCCTACTCCCGTCGTTACCTCGCCCCCTTCTGCCTAATGTAGAAATCAATGTTCCTCATGTAGGATTGAAAGCAAGAATTACGAACTGGTCTAACAAATCTGATTGGCATAAATTATCATCAAACTAGAAGTCATATCGTCAGCAGCCGCACTGAGTCGGCAAAATGTACATCTCTCTCTCTCTCTTTCAATTCTGTTTAAAATCTCAGAAGTGCGGCACACCAGTGAAAAATAACGGGGAGGCATATCGTATGCTTCACTTCTAACGAAAGGTGACCCCTAGTGGCATGGCTTTTTCAGGCAGTTCGATACCGCTTAACGAAGAAGACATTGACCTTGTGACTATTGCAGTACTCCGGAAGACAATGCCAAGGAACGCCTATAATTAAAATGGGCCTACTTCCCTTGATTGTGGATGGCTTCCTGAACAACGCCACCTTCTCTGTTTCAGAGTACGTTCCTTCTGAGGAGCCCTTCTTCTGTCCGCCTACGTGTACACCAAAGACACTCCACAGCGGCGAACGAAAGTGCCACTGCGCTGACCACAGTAAGGCATTCTCTCGGACATTCACACTTGTATCAAGTGCGTTAAAACACACAGCTATGTATGTGGATTATGCTGTAAGGCATTCTATCGGACATTCACACTTGTATCAAGTGCGTTAAAACACAGAGCTATGTATGGGGATTATGCTGTAAGGCATTCTATTGGACATTCAAACTTGTATCAAGTGCGTTAAAAAACAGAGCTATGTATTGGGATTAGGCTGTAAGGCATTCTATCGGACATTCACACTTGTATCAAGTGCGTTAAAACACAGAGCTATGTATGGGGATTATGCTGTAAGGCATACTATTGGACATTCAAACTTGTATCAAGTGCGTTAAAACACAGAGCTATGTATGGGGATTATGCTGTAAGGCATTCTATCGGACATTCACACTTGTATCAAGTGCGTTAAAACACAGAGCTATGTATGGGGATTATGCTGTAAGGCATTCTATTGGACATTCACACTTGTATCAAGTGCGTTAAAACACAGAGCTATGTATGGGGATTATGCTGTAAGGCATTCTATCGGACATTCACACTTGTATCAAGTGCGTTAAAACACAGAGCTATGTATGTGGATTATGCTGTAAGGCATTCTATCGGACATTCACACTTGTATCAAGTGCGTTAAAACACAGAGCTATGTATGGGGATTATGCTGTAAGGCATTCTATCGGACATTCACACTTGTATCAAGTGCGTTAAAACACAGAGCTATGTATGGGGATTATGCTGTAAGGCATTCTATTGGACATTCACACTTGTATCAAGTGCGTTAAAACACAGAGCTATGTATGGGGATTGTGCTGTAAGGCATTCTATCGGACATTCACACTTGTATCAAGTGCGTTAAAACACAGAGCTATGTATGTGGATTATGCTGTAAGGCATTCTATCGGACATTCACACTTGTATCAAGTGCGTTAAAACACAGCTATGTATGGGGATTATGCTGTAAGGCATTCTATTGGACATTCAAACTTGTATCAAGTGCGTTAAAACACAGAGCTATGTATGGGGATTATGCTGTAAGGCATTCTATCGGACATTCACACTTGTATCAAGTGCGTTAAAACACAGAGCTATGTATGGGGATTATGCTGTAAGGCATTCTATCGGACATTCACACTTGTATCAAGTGCGTTAAAACACAGAGCTATGTATGGGGATTATGCTGTAAGGCATTCTATCGGACATTCACACTTGTATCAAGTGCGTTAAAACACAGAGCTATGTATGGGGATTATGCTGTAAGGCATTCTATCGGACATTCACACTTGTATCAAGTGCGTTAAAACACAGAGCTATGTATGGGGATTATGCTGTAAGGCATTCTATTGGACATTCACACTTGTATCAAGTGCGTTAAAACACAGAGCTATGTATGGGGATTATGCTGTAAGGCATTCTATCGGACATTCACACTTGTATCAAGTGCGTTAAAACACAGAGCTATGTATGGGGATTATGCTGTAAGGCATTCTATTAGACATTCACACTTGTATCAAGTGCGTTAAAACACACAGCTATGTATGGGGATTATGCTGTAAGGCATTCTATCGGACATTCACACTTGTATCAAGTGCGTTAAAACACAGAGCTATGTATGTGGATTATGCTGTAAGGCATTCTATCGGACATTCACACTTGTATCAAGTGCGTTAAAACACAGAGCTATGTATGGGGATTATGCTGTAAGACATTCTATTGGACATTCAAACTTGTATCAAGTGCGTTAAAACACAGAGCTATGTATGGGGATTAGGCTGTAAGGCATTCTATCGGACATTCACACTTGTATCAAGTGCGTTAAAACACAGAGCTATGTATGGGGATTATGCTGTAAGGCATACTATTGGACATTCAAACTTGTATCAAGTGCGTTAAAACACAGAACTATGTATGGGGATTATGCTGTAAGGCATTCTATCGGACATTCACACTTGTATCAAGTGCGTTAAAACACAGAGCTATGTATGGGGATTATGCTGTAAGGCATTCTATTGGACATTCACACTTGTATCAAGTGCGTTAAAACACAGAGCTATGCATGGGGATTATGCTGTAAGGCATTCTATCGGACATTCACACTTGTATCAAGTGCGTTAAAATACAGAGCTATGTATGGGGATTATGCTGTAAGGCATTCTATTGGACATTCAAACTTGTATCAAGTGCGTTAAAACACACAGCTATGTATGTGGATTATGCTGTAAGGCATTCTATCGGACATTCACACTTGTATCAAGTGCGTTAAAACACAGAGCTATGTATGGGGATTATGCTGTAAGGCATTCTATCGGACATTCACACTTGTATCAAGTGCGTTAAAACACAGAGCTATGTATGGGGATTATGCTGTAAGGCATTCTATCGGACATTCACACATGTATCAAGTGCGTTAAAACACAGAGCTATGTATGGGGATTATGCTGTAAGGCATTCTATCGGACATTCACACTTGTATCAAGTGCGTTAAAACACAGAGCTACGTATGGGGATTATGCTGTAAGGCATTCTATCGGACATTCACACTTGTATCAAGTGCGTTAAAACACAGAGCTATGTATGGGGATTATGCTGTAAGGCATTCTATTGGACATTCAAACTTGTATCAAGTGCGTTAAAACACAGAGCAATGTATGGGGATTATGCTGTAAGGCATTCTATCGGACATTCACACTTGTATCAAGTGCGTTAAAACACAGGGCTATGTATGTGGATTATGCTGTAAGGCATTCTATCGGACATTCACACTTGTATCAAGTGCGTTAAAACACAGAGCTATGTATGGGGATTATGCTGTAAGGCATTCTATCGGACATTCACACTTGTATCAAGTGCGTTAAAACACAGAGCTATGTATGGGGATTATGCTGTAAGGCATTCTATCGGACATTCACACTTGTATCAAGTGCGTTAAAACACAGAGCTATGTATGGGGATTATGTTGTAAGGCATTCTATTGGACATTCAAACTTGTATCAAGTGCGTTAAAACACAGAGCTATGTATGGGGATTATACTGTAAGGCATTCTATCGGACATTCACACTTGTATCAAGTGCGTTAAAACACAGAGCTATGTATGGGGATAATGCTGTAAGGCATTCTATTGGACATTCAAACTTGTATCAAGTGCGTTAAAACACAGAGCTATGTATGGGGATTATGCTGTAAGGCATTCTATCGGACATTCACACTTGTATCAAGTGCGTTAAAACACAGAGCTATGTATGTGGATTATGCTGTAAGGCATTCTATCGGACATTCACACTTGTATCAAGTGCGTTAAAACACAGAGCTATGTATGGGGATTATGCTGTAAGGCATTCTATCGGACATTCACACTTGTATAAAGTGCGTTAAAACACAGAGCTATGTATGGGGATTATGCTGTAAGGCATTCTATCGGACATTCACACTTGTATCAAGTGCGTTAAAACACAGAGCTATGTATGGGGATTATGCTGTAAGGCATTCTATCGGACATTCACACTTGTATCAAGTGCGTTAAAACACAGAGCTATGTATGGGGATTATGCTGTAAGGCATTCTATCGGACATTCACACTTGTATCAAGTGCGTTAAAACACAGAGCTATGTAGGGGGATTATGCTGTAAGGCATTCTATCGGACATTCACACTTGTATCAAGTGCGTTAAAACACAGAGCTATGTATGGGGATTATGTTGTAAGGCATTCTATCGGACATTCACACTTGTATCAAGTGCGTTCAAACACAGAGCTATGTATGGGGATTATGCTGCCATCACACGTCTCGCAGAAGTTCCGAAGAGGCAGATGAACGCAAATTAACGTTATTATTCCTGCCGGCCGGTAGCTTGGGCAAACCTATCCTACCCATATGCCATGGGCGTGTACACTACTGCTGTCGAATGAATTAGAGTAATGCCAACCTCTGACTTCCATATATGTATTGGGAATATTTCCAACGTAAAATAAATACTGCGCCTAATACAGCCACTGCCATGAGGTTCCTTTTTTGGCGTAGTAGATGGCTATTGATTTTTGTCGTTGGGTTGGTTATAGTCCTGTACAGGATACAAGGGGAGGTTAATGTCATAAAACAATTTGCTGACGCGACGGGTGCAGTTAAACTTTTGAACCAGCACTGGACCAAATGCATGACATTCCTTGACTTCAGATATTTCTCAGCTTGATCCGCAAATTTTATTACCCGTAAAAAAGTATTTACTGTAGATCGCCTTTACTCCCGAAACGCTCAAAGCCACTCTTTTTGCAGCTTTCAAGCTCCACGCTGAACATTTGTCCGCACGCTTACGTGTGGTGCAGTAGGCACAAAAATATTTCGAAACTGCATCCAAAAACAACTATGTTCTGTAATAAAAAAAAAAATCGTATCGACGTGGATGATACTTAATTTTTGTAAATTTAAGCCTGAAATAAAATAAAAAAGTATTGACCTATAAACCTCTATAAGGCTATTCTAAATGTCCCGTAGTCCGCACCGTCTCCTATGTTCAACTAACTCACAACTCCGGTCCCTGCAAATAGATGTTTGCAGTTTGCCGCTTGTCGAAGGAAGCTGCAACGAAGACATTCCTCGGTACTTCTTCAACACCACTTCGTCCCGTTGCGACGTGTTCCAATACAAGGGATGCACAGGTAACGACAACAACTTCGAGACACACGAGGACTGCCTCGCAGAGTGTGAAGGTGAGTGTCATCTACCGGGGAAGCGCCAGTGTCTTGAGGTATTTGTCTTACTACACAAGACGTTCGTCCTGGGCAATTTTACTTCATGGGGAGGTTTGACTATTACATCGGTTTGGTTTACATTCTGAAAACCGTGACATAAAGCAGTAGACGAAACGCTGTCACCTGAACTCTACACACTAAGTAATGCCTGGACGTCTACTTACCCGCAAAACACTCAGAGAGAAAATCTCTGCGATCTACGAATTCAGCTCAGCGAATAATGAGGCGGAACATCCGTTTAGACCTAAAATGAAGCCTGTGCTGTGGCATTACGCAGTGCGAAGCGTCATGCTTGCATTGCGTAATGCCACAGCATAGACTTAATCTTGAGGTCTAAACAGATGTTCCGCCTCACCATTCCCTGAGCTGATTTCGTAGATTGCAGAGATTGGCGCTTCAAGGGTGTAAGTCGACGCGCAGGCATTTCTTACAGTGTATAGACCTCTTTTTTACATACGCAGGAAGGAGGCGCAATTGGCCACTTACGTCCCCGCGAACTTACGGTCAAATAAGAGTACAAATATCATAACAACGCGTCTTGTATTGTTCATGAAATATTTTATGACCACTTCTCCAGGTGATTAGCTAAAGGACCGGCGAACGAGATATTCGTTGGAGATTTTTTATTACTTGCGTAAGACGATCAATCCCCCAATGTGTTTAATAGTACAACCTAAGGGCCTTGCTAAACGTTGTCATGTTGTGCTATTAACGATACTTTGTGATTTACGGAGAATTTCCGCATTGTTGCACTATAGATGTCACAGACGTACACATCAATTTAGTTACTCCGCTAAACTTTGCGGGGAATCGAATTGGTGTATAGGTCTGTCATGCCCTATAATGTACTGAATTAGGGTGCCGATGTGGGGTAGTTGGTCCATGCAATCAAAAGGAAAACAGCGCGCAAAATAAAGGAGAAAGTACAAGTGCACACAGGACAGGCTCTGACTCTCAACTGAATCTTTTGTAAAAAACGAAATCAGCAGTACCGAACACATTCCGGGGTGGCCAATCAACACGTGTTTAAAAATGAAATCTCCTTGCTGTGTAAATTCAGCGACGTCTGACGGACGCATTTCGTGCCTTCCCTTTTTATTGCGTAGGCTTCCGAAGTTTTCCTCGTCATTCGGTCTCTGCCCATGCCAATAATCACTACTTTTTTGAAGATGGGTTGACACCCACACCTTGCACAATGAAGGCACAAGCGCCCCCCCCCCCTCTCCCCCCCCCCCCCCCCCCCCCCCACATACTTTCACTTCTGACAGTAACGACAAAGCATGCTCCCGCAATCTGCTTTGTTCCTGTTTTTTGCGCGCTGTTTTCCCTTTTGCCCATAATCAAACGCGCACAGTGTTTCATTCTAAGACATAGGCACCCGCTCCGATCCCGTTCCCGCATATAGCAATTACGCCGACGCCGACGGCAAAGGCGACGCAGACGCCGACAACCACACCGCTATATGCGGGAACGGGCGCCTAAGAGATGCGCTCTAAAAGATTTACTTTGGGGAACTTAAGAGGGTGGTCACCCTCCGCTCCCACCCTCCTAAATTCGCCCATGTCGTACCGACAGCTTCACACAACCGCGTGTCTCGGTCTTGTGGCTACAGCTCTTCATTCCGTTCGGCTTTTCGTACCTTGACGAATGCATCAATTGTGTGTCTATGGCAACTCTTCGGTGTATTTCTGGCTTTTTTTTTTTGTAGATATCCGAAACTAGAAATTTAGGTTTACAACCTAAGTTTCTTGGAAGGAAACAAAATCCTAGAAGTGCAATTTACAAATTTTGATTTTTTTATGACAAATGCCGGACTCGGTAGGAAGCTGCAATAATATTTACGTAAGGACGCAGCGTATAACTAAATAACAAATTACACTATCTGTCTAATGAATGCAAAACTCAGATATTTAAAGCGTATTACACGTCTCTCAAATTATGCTCGAAGCGTGCTTTTTCTTTCACAAAAGTGAAGGAGCATAATGCTCTTGATGTATTGCTTGTTCTGAAGGGATGCCTGCTTTCTCTGTTTGCATTAATTTTGAATCTACGTGTGCAAGTTATCGAGCAGGAATGAATAGGTTGATGAAAATAAGCTCAGACCAGGGTGTAAGATAGGCAGTTGGGGAAACGGCCCATAGAAGCCTACCGCAGCGCCGTGACCAGATTGTGTACTTGTCTGCTTGCGAGCACCCCCGATTTGCGACAGAGGGCGCTGCGGCGAGAGGAAAAAAATTGGAATCGGGTTTGCATGGAACTTTGTGGAAGAGTGCGCAAAATAAGCCGAGAGCACAACAGTCCTCTATTGAAAATCCACGAGAAACCATCTCCGTCAATTTAGCCGGTCGCCACCGGTCGCCCACCCGGAGTGAGAGTTCGCAGTGCTCCACATAGATGGCGCCACAGAAAAAGAGAAAACCGACGGGAACACAATCCGGTCGCTCATTTGGCTCTCGTTTCCCCACCTGTCTCTTTTACACCCTGGTTCCCTGGGTTCAATTGTCACCTTGTTATGATGACGGCCTCTGCTCGGTCAGAGTAACCGCTAGTTTTCATAAGAAGCTCACGCTCCCAAATTAGTGTAAATCGAAAACAGTTGTTTTTGATGATGGAGCTAAAGATGCTGTGCAAAATAGATTATAAACGTGCCTTTCATTAGGTGCTTCGAAATAATCGTAACGTAAACATAATTTTATTTGTTTGTTTAAAATATGTATCTAAATGTGTTCGTCGTTATAACTCTCTTCTAACAATTTAGGCTATCGCGCTGTCGATTTATTTATAGATTATTTTAAGCCGTGCTGGATTTTATATTTATGTCAATGATGTGATTCAGTGAGTTCCTCTAAATATCGACATCAATTGTGTTTGGTCTTTTTCAGTGCCGTGGCACTAAGACTCATCACCTTGTATATTTAGAGGTATTTTTTACGGAAATATGTATTTCTGAGGTCTAGTTTAGTCATAGAGATAATCGAAGCTGGCAACATGAAAATGTTATGATTCATTCTCTCGAACAAGAGAAACAGATTATATAGGAAACGCTAACGCACTATCCTTGTAATCGTAATAAGCAGTAATAACGTGGGTCCTGCGCACATGATATCGATGCCGCTTTCTGGAATCTGCTCGCATCACTTAATAAATTCCTGCATTAAGTTCGCATCCAATGGCAAGCAGAGTGCGCTAATTATTGCAAGAGGTAATCGTTGCATAGAGTATCAAGAAACAGTGTAGGGACACTAAAGACCACGCTTACAAGACGGGCAACTCGTTTTACCGTATGCATATCCTATTACGCGGACATGGTGCAGCTTTGCTTCATAAAACAATCGATCTGTTCCTAAAACGAAAACGGGCAAATTCTCGGCATTGTAGGGCAAATCTTGCTGTTCAACATCAAGGGTTGGCGCGTTACTTCAATTAACAACGGCATCCAAATAAACGCGCGATCGGGTGTGCGGCACAATTTTAGAAGAAGCTGGCTCGTCTCAGTGGCCGAGTTCTGGGGACTTTCGGGAAGAAGTCCGGAAACTTCGAAACTTGTGATCTCATACCAGCCGCCGCAATGAAGCGTCTCACTAATCTTTGTTCGCGGTCGCTTATACCCCCAGTGCCATAGAACTTTGTAGAAACAAGGCAGATCGCCACAAATGCATTTGAAACTTATCTACCGTTTTTTGTCAAAAATTACAGGATACGGAGGATGGTTAGCTTGCATTTTTACTTTGATTAGAACATTGTGTTATGAAAGATGCTAGTTTTTTTTTTTTTTCTCTTGGTTAAAGGTTTGTTAGGTAGATTTTCAAACTTGCTACTTTGTGTATATTAGTTTTTTTTTATGTTCCCTACGGTTGCCTTGTGCCCAGACGCGTAACGAAACTTCTAAGGCTATATTTTGAATTACAACCATGCTTAATTTCAGTTCAAACTGTGAGAAGGTAGATTAGACGTCCAAACGACTCCGTATAAACACAAAACCATTTTTGTCTGCGAAAACGTATGCGCTCATGGTTCCTTAAATATCATATTATCGTTATATGAATCGGAGTTTAACTACTTCATAAAACGTCGTGTAATGTTTACCTATTGAGTCCCTTGAAGTTGCGAGATCAACATATTTTGCAATGGTTTTCCTTTTGCCCGCAGGCTATTAAAGTGCCAAATAATATATCTGATATGACATTCTTTGCTGAAAACCGAAGGCGTGGTCATAATGCTCTGATTTACATCCCATTTCTGCGCTACACAACTCAGTATTACGCACGTGGCTGTTCATTGCTCCACCACGGGTGTTCTTCAGTCATTTAGAGAGAACACAGTATAAGCTGCTCTCAGATGCTAAGAATGTGGTTTTGAAACCCGGACTCGAGCACCGTAGTGTGTCCTGTGTTCTTTAATTTTCTTTTCACAACAGCGGTGTGTTAATCAACGGTACCATCCAGCTTTACACTTTGGAAGAGCCTGCAGATTAACATCATCTGAAAGCCGAACATGAGGATAACAAAAAGCAGAGACTATAGAGACCAACACAGCTGCACGTTTGACATAGTGGTTGTTACTTGATAAAAAAAAACCTCACGTGGACTGGCTGGCGTTTGTAAATTCCACGTTATTAATGATTTGAATGTCCCCCAAGTGGAAGTGGAAGTTTGAGCGTGAGCCATGAAGCTGACAGATATGGTTAGTTACGCGGCCCTAACAGCCTGCTTGTTTTGGTGAGGCCCTCTAAAGCTCAAAGTAGTCGTGCCCTTAATCTGGTACTTTGGAACGAAACTATCTAAAAAAAATTTTTATTTACAAAAAAAAAAAATTGCTTCGCTGTCAGGCATCATTCCAGAGATTCGGTATAAAAAAGCGTTCTTCACACATACCTCAAGAACCTTTAACGTAAACACTGTCTATTAACGCAGGCAGTACAATAGAAGGTCTTATCTAGAAAGCTACTAAGATATATA